TCAAATATGTTGGACATTTATAAAATCCCACAGGTGTGTGCAAGGGTGAGTGCAGAAGTATTTCACAAGAAGAGTACTGCACTTCCTCTGCTTGCAACAGAATACCCTATACCACCAGACTTGAAAGTTTGGGCTTAGACAACTTAGAACTACGCCACCTTCAATCTGACCTAAGCATAGTACATAAAATTATCTGCTACAATGTCCTACCCATCAATGACTACTCAGCTTTGACCAAAACAATAGATCACACAATAGATACAAACCTAAGGTAAACTGCTGCAAACTCAATTGTAGAAAATACGACTTCAACAACAGAGTTATCAATGCCTGGAATGCACTACCTGTCTCTTTGGTTTGTTCTCCAAACCCCCAAAACTTTAACATTAGACTGTCTACTGTTGACTTCACCCCATTTCTAAGAGGTCTATAAGGGGACATGCATAAATGTCAGTTTTCCAGCAAATCTCCATTCCAATCAGTAACTCCGAGACAAACATACCTCAAAAGTACCTTTATTAGAATAGCACCTGGCACATCTGTGGAAACCTGAATCTAAAAGGTTTTTTGGCTTTCCACAATTTGTCAAACTACAAATCTACCTCCACCTTGGTCATCATCACATCACATGGCCCAATCACGATCTGTCCAAAAATAAGATTCTTATTTCATCCTGCGCCATACTAAATTATCTCGAATGAACAAAAGAATTTTATTTTGTCTACTTAGAGCTACTTAATTGAAATCACCCCCCTCCCACTCTCTCAGGTTTTGTGGCAGTGTGGAATATGGCTTCCAAAGCTGACAGGCGTCCCCCCTTGAAAAATTTGCCTGCTAAAAGGGATAATAAAGAAATTACAATCAGGGGTTAATGCATTCTCCTTAACCCCCCCCACCCAAGGGAACCTTTTGGTTTGTCAGGGAATTTGTTATGGAATTGGTTGACCAATCTATGTGCATCTACATCCCAATTTTTTACCCAAGTAGCATCAGACAAAGGGTAACCTTTCCATAATATCAAATATTGTAATCTTCCTCGGTGCAATCTAGAATTGAGGATTTTCTTCATTTCATAATGTGTCTCACCCTGTATGATTAAAGGTTTGGGGGGAGCTGTTTGTCTTACATTTGACCCTACAGCTGGTTTCAATAAACTACTATGGAACACTGGGTCTATTTTCCCCAAAAGCCAGGGGAGACTTAATTGGACTATGACTGGATTGACTATTTTTGATATAAGGAATGGACCTAAGAATTTACGGGCCAACTTCCTACTGGGAAATTTCAATTTTAGATATTTAGCTGAGAAAAACATGTTTTCCCCTACTTTAAATGGTGGTTGAGGCCAGGGGACTTGTTTAGGTAATAGTTTCTGAGGTGTCTTTGGAGCCTTGAAATTCTTGTGATCAGTCCACACCTCAAATGGTTCCTTCACCCCTGTCAGAAAGTGCCTCCAAGACAGCAAAGCCCATCGCACCGTAAACACTTTTTTTTCCTAAACTGCCCACCTACGCTCTGTGTCTGTCAACTTTTGGGACACATAAGCACAAGGCATTAGCCACTTTTGAGAGTCCTTTTGGAGAAGAATGGCCATGACAGCCACATCACTAGCATCATCTTGGACTATGAAAAGTCTGGTTGGGTCCAGGTGCTGGAGAATGGGCTCAGTGGCAAATAGGCATTTTAAAGTTTCAAAAGATTTCTGACAGTCTATTGTCCAAGCAAGGGGTTGATTGGGCTTCAGTTTGGTCAGAGAAGGCCCACTTTTCAATAACTGTCAAAGGGAGGGTGACTTCGGCAAAATAAGGAATAAATTGTCTATAGAAATTGGCAAAACTCAAAAACCTTTGAAGTTGTTTACATATTTTGGGAGGTTGCCAGTCTAATACCGCTCTCACTTTTCCAGGGTTCTTCTCAATTCCCTGGTTGGATACTCAGTAACTTAGGTAATCCAGTGACTCTTTGTGGAATTCACATTTTGACAGCTTTACATATTAACTTGGAGGCTAAAAAAATTTTCAGCACTTGTCTGACCAATTTGACATGTTCTTCAATGGTTTCGCTGAATATAAGAATTTCAGTCAGGTAGATGAGGCCCCCCTGGTATAGGTGTGGATGTAACACTTCATTGATGAGTTGCATAAATACTGCGGTGGGTGGGGGGTGGGGCTGGAGTCTGAAAGGCATGACTTGGAATTGGAAACTACCCAAAGGGAAGTTGAAGGCAGTTTTCCATCCATCTCCCTCCTTTATGCAGACTCTGTAGTAAGCTTCTCTCAGATCTAGTTTGGTGAAGACCTTGCCTTTAGACAGGTGATTTAATAAGTCTTTCATGAGGGGGAGGGGGTACATGATTTTTTTATGCATACCGCATTCACCCTGCAAAAATCCACACATAATCTTAAGCCATCATCTTTTTTTTTTTTTTTGAACAGCACTGTGACGGCCAACCTGGATTTGGCAGGTTCAATGAAACCTCTGTCCAAATTTTTATCAATGTATTTTCTCAACTCAGTCATTTCAGCTGGTGTCATGGAATGCATCTTTGGTTTGGGCAGTTTTGCCCCAGATTCTAACTTTATGGCACAATCAGTGGCTCAATGGGGAGATAAAACATTGCATTCCTCTTCACTGAACACCTCAGCCAAGTCCCTGTATTGTTTGGGGACTTGGGGCACACCTGGAAGAGAGTCTGAAGCAGTGGCTGCTGCTACAGGTTGGGGATCTTTGTTGTGTGGCAGTTTCTTTGTAGGCAGAAGGGGGCAGTGGGACAACCCCAGTTATGATTTTTCATTATCTGTCCTCCCATTTGATGGTAGGGGCCCATTTATCCAGCCAAGCAAGTCCCAATATGACAGATTCTGACATCTTTGGAGCCACTATAAAATGTATGAGTTCATGGTGACTGCCCATCTCTAGCTTGATTAACTCTGTCATTTGGGTGGCTGGGATTCCCTCAGATAGAAATCCCAACTACTTGTTCAAACCTGATTCGGTGTTTCAGGTTTTTAGCTTTTATTCCTAATTGTTCAACAATGGGGAGGCCAATAAGGCCTCCAGAACACCCGGAATCTATTACGGCTTCTATCTCCCCTGCCTCTCCCATGTCAGGCACCACCAACTTCACTTTGACTGTAAAAGGTGTGATGGCAGCTTTCTAGGATCGTCTTCTTCATTGGTTCCTCTGAACATTCAGAATATGAGGACACCAGGCATAGATTGAATATTACATTTATAGGGTTCTGCAACAGGCTACATTCACATCATCCTTCCTGTTTTTCTCTCTTGGTAAGTCCTTAGATTTATCTGGGTACTTGTCCACTAACTCCTCCCAGAACCTCATCTCTTGGAAACTGCCATTCTCATAGCTTCTTCTTTTCCTGTTTTTTTTTTTTTTTTACATCAGCAGGTTTTTAATATAATAGCTCATTAACCAATTCCTTTTAGGTCAGGATGACCCAAAATCATTTCACATATTATCATTGCCAAATATTTGACATTTCCATGTTCTAGCCAAAAAATTGAAATTTCTACAGAACATAATAAACTTATGTTTATAATTATATAACAGTCCAGTAATATTCCAGTAATTATTGCATAGGTCATAAATCAGATAAATATGGTGTTACTTATGTTCCTAATTTTCACAGGTGTAATCCTTAGTATGTAATTCTTACATACCACAGAGTGCATCTCTTTGTTGTATGGGGGCCAACTCTCAAAATTATTTCAGGGAGTCCCACTAGGACATGCTGAAAAGCACTGCGGAAAGAATTCAATAATTGCTTTGGTCCTAGACTTGATTCTGAATTCTGAAAAAACTATGAAGATGAGATTGAGACCCTCCAAACTAACTCTGAAGCTTAAAGCAGTCCGCAGCCGATCTAACCAACTATTTTTATTTCTTTCAGTTTTAAATAACATAAGTTGTCAAACAGAGGCAAACCAAGCATATAAACCAATAACAATTTGCAATCAATAATTAAATGTTATGGTCCTAAGAAACAATTTCATTGTCACTTCCCTATTTTTATCATGAGATGTTCCTTAGTGTTTAGATCAGGTCTAAGGATGATAATGTAGCACTTGAGGAGGAAGATGCAGCCCAGCAGTCCAGCACCAGAGGCCAAGATGGAAAAGACCTGCACGGCCACCATGTATTTCCCTTTGGTGCTCAGGTAGGTGGGAAGGAAGGAAACCCAGACACTGCAGAAGACCAGCATGCTGAAAGTGATCAGTTTGGCTTCATTGAAGGCCCCAGGCAGGTTCCTGGCCAAGAAAGCCACTATGAAGCAAATGATAGCAAGGAAACCCATGTAGGCGAGGACAATATAAAACATGGTAACAGAGCCTTCGTTGCATTGAAGGATGATTTTTCCAGGCTGGGAGTGCATGTCAGAATCAGGGAATGGGGGGGAAACTCCCAGCCATATGACACAAATGAAAATTTGGACACCAGAACAAGAAAGGATGGTAGTGTTGGCCAAGGTCTTTCCTAACCATCTTCTCATCTTGTTTCCTGGTTTTGAGGCCAGGAAAGCCAGCACCACCATGATTGTTTTGGCCAACACAGAAGACACAGCTACTGAGAAGACAATGCTGAACATTGTTTGCCGGAGAAAACAAGTGGCTTTCCTTGGCCGGCCAATGAAAAGAAAGGACGAAAGAAAACAAAGCAAGAGGAAGATCAGGAGGATGTAGGAGATGTCCCGGTTGTTGGCTTTGACAATGGGAGTTTCTAGATATTTAATGAATATGATTAAAACAAAGCCTGTGGTTAGGAACAAGAATAGGGCAAAGCAGACGAGGATGATGCCCAGAGGTTCTTCATAGGACAGGAAGGTTATTCTTTTGTGGATACATTGGACTCGGTTCTTGGTTGGACATTGTTCTTCTGGGCACTTTGTGCATTTTTCAGTATCTGAGAAAAATAATATTTTTTGTTATAGTCTTTCAAATTTCAAGAAAACTTTGAATGAGATGTGATATTGAGAGACAGGAAAGCATCATTAATGGTACATTCTTACACTCCAGCAAAAAGATCCCCAAATATGTACAAACAAGAACAACTAAATAAAATTAAACAATAAAAAACAAGAACAAGAAAATAAAATTAAAAGAAGAAATATCGGGTGCCACAAACTCCTTTGTCAACTTTAAAACAAAAGTTTGTTGATTGCAACTATTGCTGCTTTTCAGTTGCCACAAAGACGGGGGGGGAGGGAGAACTACCTGTGGAATGCCAGTTACAGACTGCAACAAGAAACTGTCCCGTGGGAACTCCTGGGAGAAGTAGCAAGTCTCCAGAAGTTGAAGAGGATGGGGACTATTGAATTTCAGGGTGGAGTGGAGTAGGAGCTGCACCAGAAAAGGTAGGCTTCTGAGGCAATGTTTTAGGGAACAGGCCTTTTTGCATGCCAAAGCATTCCAAGTGTGGTCATCATAGTTTTTATAAAGTGGTACTAATACTTCATGTGATTTTGATTCTATGCCTCTGTTTATACATAACCAAGGATTGTGTTAGCTTTTTTTTTTTTGCTGCTGCCGCATAGTCATGTGGCAATCTTGTTCCACTACCTCCCTTCTCTGACTTAACCAACCAGGTTCTTTCTTTATTTCTTTATTTACTTACTTGTTTATTTATTAAATTTTTGTCAGGTGATGGACATACGTTTATCCCAAGAATGTTTAAAATCAGTTGTTGATTTTGATGCTTTCAATAAACTGCTCTAAAAAGATTGGACACAGGATAAAATTTGTCTAATGTGGTTAGATCCACGGAGTTCCTCTTGAGAAGGGTTGCAACACTGCCTACTTCAGGGCAGATGGATAGAGCCCCCTCCAGGGAAAAAAATTATTAATTATCCTGAAATTGAGAGTATCTCCAAACTTTGAAGGCTTCTAGAAATCCCTTAAAATGTGATATTTTCCAACAGTCCTGGGGATCCCCTGACAATACAACCCTGTGTACTGGATGCATGGTAGGTAGCGTCTTGATGTACTTCTCTCTTGATTTCTTATGGGTGTTACCATAAAAGAGAAGCTGACCTGGGGCACTCACATTGCAGCATTGGTCAAAAGGGCCCAGCAGAGATTATACTACCTGAGACTTCTCAGAAAACAACAGCTGAATGAAAAATTGCTGGTAACCTTCCACCATTGACCATAGAAAGCATTTTAACTTACTGCACCTGTGTGTGGTTTGCCAATTGCACAGTGGCAGATAGGACAGCACTCCAGAGGGTTAACGCCATTGCTCAGAGGATCATTGGTTGCCCTCTCCCCTCTTTGGAAGAGCTTCATAGCTCCCACTGCCTTAAAAAAGTTCAAAATATTCTAAAAGCTTCATCTAATCCTGGGCACCCTTTTTTTGAACTATTACCATCTGGCAGATGGTACAGGACAACAAAAACAAGGACACATAGACTGGAAAACAGGGCAGTATCCCAGGGCAATAGCTCTGTTGAATTATACTGTATAGTACCATGTTGGTGGGTGGGTTTTCAATTCAATGTGTGGAGTGTGAAGGATGTGCACTTGTGTTTATTTTCATGGTCATGATGTGCACTGAAGATGGTGTTTGATTTCATTGTACGAGGTGCAATGACAATACAGTAAAGTAAACTAAACTTAGCATTTAGTTCTCGTTGTTTTAATTTTTAATTTGTGATTTAATTGTGTACCGTCCAAAGTCACTTTGTGCAAAATAGACAACCATATAAATGTGATCAATAAATTTGAAAAGAAAGAGCCTTAAAGAAGATTAATTGGTGAAGGAATTCAAGAAGAGGAACTGAGTCTGTTATCTGCCAAGTCTTTTTATCCAATAAAAATGGGAAGATGAAGCAATATATTTCCATCCTTTCTAGATTTGGCAACAATTTTAAAGAGATAATGAAATCAACATTGGTATCTATTCTTAGATTGGTCTTTTATTAGTTCTCCCCCTCCCTTCTTTTTGTTCCTTTTAATCCCAGCACTGTATGTTAGTATTTTTTTTTTCCTTTCAGAACCACAACCATATTCATTTTTGGTTGGTTTTATAACAGTTTTTATCTCAGTATTTAACAATGCAAATTGAAAAGATAAGAAAAGGTGGGAAGTAAATATGCACTTGATGGTTTTATGACGAGTCCTCTGTTTGGTTTTTATTTGTTCTTTGAACCCAACTTCTCCCCCTTCATTGCTTCAGATATTTAGATATTTCAGTTTATAAGAATTTATGATCTTAATAAAGAGTAATTGATTAAATGTATGATTGATGTATCTTTTGCCCTGTAGTGTAAGGTTGATTTGGATGGTGTCACCAACCTTCCTGAGTTGCGATGGTCCCCTCTGGACAAGGAACACAATCATAGCAGCAAACTGGTTCTCCTTCTCGAACTTTCTTGACAAATCCTGGCTGACATTTTTCCACACATTTGGACTGAGGCAGAGACTGGAAAGAAAAAGAAAAATGCCAAAGGAAAGAGGTTAATCTCACCATCTATGTAACATGGAGGTAGACAGAAACATTAGCCAAGTAATCTCTGGGCTTCAGATAGAAAAATATGAAAACCCTGACAACTTCCAAATGATTGCAGGAATACAATTGCAGGCGGATGCCTCATTTAGTTCCTCCTTTTTCTTGGGGCCTTTCTACTTAATAAAGTCTGGAGGGATGAAATGAGAAAAAAAATTAAACATCAAGTCACACTTAGTTCCTCCTCATAGTGTAATTCACATGCATTCCTCCATTGCATGCATGATTTTAAAATAAGATATCCACTTATTTTAAATTTGAGACTAAACTTTATTGTAAAAGATGTATTACATTTCTATTCCATTTGTGAACTTTATCAAGATTAACTGGCTAATTAAATGATTGATTGATGTATATTTTATACATCAATGCATTTATTTAAAATTGTATTTATTTTTAATTTATTTAAAATACCACATTTTTTGGAGTATAAGATGCTCCAAAGTATAAGACCCACCTACTTTTTGGGGAGGAAAACAAGAAAAAAAAATCTGCCTCTGCCTCCCAGCGATTTGCCTCCTTGCAGCAAACAACTTCAGCACAGCCTGATTAGCATAAGCAGCTGATTGTCGTTTGGATCGGCCTCCCTACCATCAGTTGTTTCAGGCTGCAGGGATTGACATAGCCTATTGCTGTCTCCGCGTGCCCCATTTTTTCCCCATTCCAAGTGGCAGGAATCAGAATGGGCAGACAATGTAGCACATGGAGGCTCAAAAAGTGTGTCTTATACTCCAAAAAATGCAGTAAATTAAAACTGTGATTAAAAAAGAAACATCTGATTGGTAAGATGTAGAATGGTTTCTTCTGGATTGCAAAACTCCTTTTTGAAAACAGTTCAAAATGATCTCCTAGTTAAGATACAAAGGAAAAATTCTTTACAAGTAAAGGCTGTCAACCTTAAACATGATGTTCCTCATCTATATATTTATTTGATCAGTTTATACGGCTGCCATGCTGGTTAATTAAAAGTAAAACTGACTAATTTCTAAAATTATAGTGAGGTGAGATGGAGGTGAAAATGTGTCCATCAGAAAGGGTGAGTCAGGGGTCTTCCGATGCACCACATGAGTGAGAGCTCTGTGTGGGAAAGTGATATACAACACAAGGTATACAATACAAGGTACCCGATACAATTAGGTGACACAAGCTAACAGGGAAATGCACACCTGTATTCATTATAAGTTTGGAGACTCCCAGAGTGGCTTGAGATAGTTAACAATCCAAATAAAAATTTGCATGCAAGGCAGTGGTGGGAATTCAAAAAAATTTACTACTGGTTCTGTGGGCGTGGCTTGGTGGGCATGGCATGGCTTGGTAGGTGTGGTGTGGCTTGGTGGGCATGGCAGGGGAAGGAAAAGTCTCCCTTCCCTTCCCACTCCTGGGGATGGTAAAATCTCCCTTCTCTTCCCATTCCTGGGGAAGATTACTGAAAAATCCCATTCCCTCCCCACCCCACTAACCTGCTTTCCAGCTCCGTTCTCTTGTGCAGGGCAACAAAAGAAGACTTAGCCAATCAGCTGGGACTCGGGAGGCAGAGAATAGATGGGGCAGGGCCGATCAGAGATGGTATTGGCTGGTTCTCTGAACTATTCAAAATTTCCACTACCAATTCTCCAGAACTGATCAGAACCTGCTGAATACCACCTCTGATGCAAGGGATTTTCAGATGAAGGGCACTCTTAAAAGCCAATGCCAAAACCTAAATAACATTTCCCTTGAAATTGTTCTTTATTACTTCTGATATCAGGATTTTTTTTTTTTGCACTAAAGTTGTGTTTCAGTACTTCAGTTTTCAGGCCATTATTGTGGTGTGATGGGCAGCAAATAAATTTAATCAATCAATGAATAAATAAGCTCACATCAGACCAGTCATTGTTATATCATGTGAACTGAAAGCCTTAGACCTGCTTGATGGTCCTCCCTAACCATGAGCCTGCAATTTTGGGAGACCCCTGACTCCAATCAGGGCAAGATGAAGTGTCAGGGCTCTAGCATCCACCCCCATTCAAATGGGGCACATTCTCCACTGGGACACATCCAAAGCCAAGTGTCATCAATTATGCTCTCCAGTAATAATCTTGCATGCCAGAAGCTTTGGCCACCTAGCAATTATCTATGAAAGCATTTAAGGAATGTACTACTTCCCCCACTTCCTTTTTGCTGAAAACTCTTAAAGACCAGAGAAATATTTGCTTATTAAGGTTATTTCCCACTGGGATCAACAAGACTTCCATCCTATTTTGATTCCATTTCATCAGATTGAGACCAAACTTGAACTCAGGTCCCGATCCACAGAATTGCCTTCACCTTGATATTTGAAGAGAAGAAATTAGTGAAACTGAAACTAGTAACACCAAAATCCTCAGCATATGAGGCAGTAGTGGGATCCCACCTTAGACACTACTGGTTCAGTGGGAGATTGTGCGCGTACGCGCAGTCCTAACATATGCACCCCTAAAAGCCAATCAACTGAGAGGGTAAAGAAGTGACCCTCCCACCCTCCCATGCACTTTTCAGCCTTTTATCCTCTCAGCTGATCTTCAGAGGATTGTTTTCTTCCCCTCAGCTGATCCTTTTGACTAGATTTAGCCCACTTGAAATGGATTGTAAGTCTTTGGCGGGGGAGTTGTATCAATATTTTCCTCACCTTGTTCAGCAACTTTAACTGTGACAAAACATCTTGGTTGATTGTAATTCTCTGCCTTTCAAAACTCCCCAATTCCTTGTTGATGGGATCCTCCTTGGGCAGAAACACGTTACTAATGATCTTCAGATCTGTTGCTATGTCTCCATTTTGGTCCAAATACACTTTCAACAAAGAAAGATTGTACAATTCATTCTTCTTTAAATATGGATGGAACTAGAGTGGAAACATTGAGGAATTTTAAGAAATCTTGTTTTCTTACCTCATATCCTCTTTTTACATTTTAATCTTTCTTCTACAGTTGTTTAACTTGCAAATATTGTGAGTTGGGAGAACAAGTGTTGCCATTGTCTTCAAAGCTCAAGAACAAAGGATTAGTAATAGTTCTCAATTGTGTGTGTGTGTGTGTGTGTGTGTGTATGACGTGGGAAAATACCCGAACAAAGCTGAATACCATACATGTAAGTACCCACGAAAACTTAAGAAAACATATATAACTTTTCACAGGTACTTACATGTATCGTATTCAGCTTTGTTCGGGTATTTTCCCATGTCATTATAGTTGTGCTTTTAAAGTTGTAGCAACATTTCGGCAGAATCTCATCTGCCATCATCAGGCTTCTGTATTGTGTTCGTCTGTGAGTCAGACTTTCACAGCCGTTTCTGTTTTTAATTTGGTGCTAGCCTACGCTGTGCCAGAATGGTTTTTTCTTCATCCTGATTGGTAGGGAGTCTTGGTCTGTGTTTATTGGTCTTGGAGTTTGCTGTGATCTGCTTGATTAATGTTTCTAATATCTTCTGTCTGTTTTGTAGCTTTTTTAGTCTTGATTGGCTGGCAACATTGCGTTTCCTGTATTGGAGGCTTTTAGTGGGGCTTGGCTCCGAGTAAACAGACGGCTATCATTTATTAGGAAGCTAGGTTTCATCTGGTTGCCTGGTTGGGGTGTGTTTGAACTGGAGGTATCAGGGGGAGTCTGTTTGTGCCCAGGTGTTTGCCTGGCTTGTGGTGTGGAGATTTTTTTGTTTGTGAGTGCAGGCTTCCAGATAATTGACAGTCTGGTGGAGTCATCTCTTCTATTCATGCTTTCAGGTCTTTTTCAATGTCTATGGCTTCTCTGATAATTCTGTAGCTGGGGTTTTCTATAGTGGCTAGGGTTTTGGTGCCATTGAATTCGATGCTATGACCTGTGGCTTTCATGTTCGTTTCTGATTAGGGCTAATTCTGTTCTTTTCAGGATCCTTTCAGTGGCTAAAGTTTTGGAATGGAATTTGAGTTGGAAGCATATGGGGAACCCATTTTTGTCTCGACAATTGAGCAGAAATGTGAGATCACACAAGATGGTGGCTCTTCAGAGTTTGAGTTTCTTGTAGGTCCTGGTTAGCCAGAAGGTTTCCTCCCCCTAGAGGTACAATATTTGTTTTCGTAGATTTTCACAGGGACAGGTATGTAGGTCTAGGTGTGTTCGGATCTTTTCCCGTGTAAGATTAAGAGTATCTTGGCAACGTTTTGGCGAGGTCCCACTCGCCATCCTCAGGCTGGTACTAGCTGGAAACCCCACTATCTTTGGGGTTTCTTAGGATTCCAAATAAACACTATCATCAATCTAATCTGAAAAGAGATACCCCAAAAAAACAAGACACAGAACAAGACAACGGTATCGCACTCCTCCCCTACATCTACGGCACCACAGACAAAATCAGCAAAATTCTCCACAAACACAATATCAGGACAGCCTTTGGCACTGACCAAAAAATAGCCAACATACTAAGAAACCCCAAAGACAAGATCCAACTAGAAAACCAAGGAGTTTATGAAATACCATGCAACAATTGCCCAGCCACATACATTGGACAAATCAACAGGAGAATAAATGCACGCATCGCAGAACACAAAAACACAATCAGAAGAGAAGAAAATACTTCCTCCCTCTTCCAGCACCTTAAAGCCACAGGACATGAAATTAATTTCGAAGGAACCAAATTAATATCCAACACTGAACATTCCAGCAAGAGAATAATCAGGGCAGCCATTGAGATAGAGAAACAACTCCATAACATGAATAGACGGGACGATACCTCCCACTTACCAGACATCTGGAAGCTTGCCCTCACCAACAAATGAGTCCCAGCCACGAAAACCAACACCAGACCTAAAACAACACGGGACACCACCGGCAATCCCCTTCATCAGACCCAGGCTCAAGCCCATCCTATAAACAAAGGACAACCACCATCCAGAAAACAGACCACGGCTGCTTCACCAGCTGTCGCACCCCCAACCCCAAAACCAAACAAGCTGACACACACCAAGAACACAGACCCAGACCCCAAACTCAAAGCCAGACTAAAACCCAGAATGCTACATCACAGCCACCCGCTCAGGATATCACATCAGAAAACTCAAGAAATTACACCACAAGATCTCAAGAAGTTGCAACACAGCAAATGACCGAGGAAATCACAGCACAAGACCAAGGATATCACAGCAATAAAACTCACAAGGTCACCGCACAACCCATTACCCAAGCCGTTACAACCCAGGAGGCTAATGGAAAAGAGATCAAAACACAAACGACCCAGGAGATTAAAGCACAAGATCCAGGATATCTCCAAAACAAAACTCACAAGGCCATCACACAGCCAATTATACCAACATCAACTCCATCAACCAATCAAGAGGCAGCAGCACAGCCAACCAGCCCAGCACACAAGCCCCCTCCCCCCAGTATTTATAGAGAAACGGCAGCTCCGATCACACACTCCTTGCACTGGCACAAAGGCGAAAGCACCTGCCTGAGGATGGCGAGTGGGACCTCGCCGAAACATCGCCAAGATACCCTTAATCTTACATGAGAAAAGACCCGAAAACACCTAGACCTACGTATATGTATATGTATATGTATATGTATATGTATATGTATATGTATATGTATATGTATATGTAT